AATATAATAGAATCAAGGACATAGAAAGGGAGTGGACTGACAATTCTGGGGAGAAAGGGGTGTGGGAGGTGCGGGAAGAGACTGGACAAAAATTGCACACCTTTGGATGAGGACAGTGGTGGGGGGTAAGGGCAGAGGGTGGGGTGGGAACTGGGTGGAGGAGAGCTATGGGGGGAAAGAAAGAGGAACAAATGTAATAATCTGAACAATAAAGATTTAATAAAATTTAAAAAAAATTAAAAAAAGAGCCTCAATAGAACACTCAAATCTGAGATGAATATGAAACATAAATATCCTGTTTTCCAAAACCTAATCATTATTCACCCCAATTTCTAAATTTAGTTGTCTTCGACTCCTTCCTCTCTGAGTTAGGTGGCACGTTTGGCTAGTAAAGTATTGTCTCCTTTATCTCCTTCCTACTACTCATCATGAAGTTCAATTGATTTCACTCTTTAAATGAAATCTATCTCGTTCCTTTTCTACCACTAGCACACAAATCAGGTTCTTTTCTTACATCTCAACCGCCTCCAGCCATGCCAGTTTTTTCCTATTGAATCAGCCATCAACTATTTGGGAACCTATTGCCCTCCATAGTGTGGATAAAGAGATTGGACAGTGGGGAGGACAGAAAACATTACTGTGGGGTCACACTCCCTTACCTAAAACCAGTATTCTCTCCCCAAATGACAAAGTTTGGTCCCTTCCCCTGGCACATAAAGAATCTTCAATACAGGGCCACACTGCAGCTTCCCAGCCAGATCTCTTGAACCACTAGTAGTTTCCCAAATATACCTTGGTCTTTCCTCCATTCAAGAGCTAACTCAACTATATCCTGGCCTTCCCCAACAGCATTCTACTGTACTCACCCTGTGTGAGCCCTTGACACTCACTAAACCTCCTGTTAGATCACGTCTCACACAATCTTGTTATTTAGTATTTTCCCCCTAATAGAGCAACAGACATGTGAATGAATGGAATGAATGAATGACTTGCCAGGTGGCCATTCAAATAAGGAACTGTCCTCCGTGGAAGCAAATGGACAGCTGAAAGGACCCTTTGAAGGTCCTTGCTGACAAGGATGCTTTTGCTGCAGCAGTGGCCCTGACTTACCACTGTCAAACACCTGTCCCCTTTAATCACTCTAAACTCAGCAGCCCTTCCTCTGCATTCACTCAATGACAGCCCAAAGACCCAGCACAAGCCCTTCCAAGTTAAGCCAGAAGAACCAGAAGCCCGAGGGTCTTGGGCAGAAAGAGGCCCTGACAGGTTCAGCCCACATGTGCTCTTCCTGGCTGCCTCCCTTTCCCTTGTAGTCACTGGATCCTGTAGTCAGGCAAATTTGGTCAGTTTTCCCCTTCGCCACATGGATCTTTGTAATAATGGTTCTCGACCTTATTACTACCAGCATGAGCAGATCTGGTTTCTTCCAACCAAAAGAGCCTCAGTAGAACACTCACTCAAATCTGAGATGAATATGAAGCCAACTAACCCTGGGGGTCTCTAATTGCAGGGTCTGTCTTTAAGGTATCCCTATTATTTTTCCCCAGGGATCCACAGGGGACTCTAATATAGATGGGAGTCCACCCCCTCAGAGTCTGTGTGGGTTCAACTATTCATTAGCTTTCTATAAAATAGACACGACTCTTCCTGGAGAGTGGGAGAACCATTTGGGGTTTATTCTGCTCTTGATCATGTTTTTCCCTCCCTGCCTCTCAGTGGGAAAAAGAATGATCAAAAGTGAGACAAGGGACAGAGGGTGTTCCAACCTTGGCTCCGACTATCTCCGCTCTTAGCTGTCTTATCTCTTACCACCAAATCTCTGCAGTGGTTGCTTTCCCAAATTTTGAAGTGATGAAACTGTTCTCATCCCTTGGCTTCTTTTTTTGCAATGATTTCTGTTTTGTTTTCTCCAGCAGTCATTCTCAGAATAGATAACATTCCAAATGTCCTTCACTCACTTTATTATTAAACTGCCAGCTTTTTCCTTGCCAGGAACTAAACTAGGAGATCTGATGATATTTGTATGTCCTAAAACAGTGATGGCGAACCTTTTGAGCTTGGCATGTCAGCATTTTGAAAAACTCTAACTTAACTCTGGTGCCGTGTCACATATAGAAATCTTTTGATATTTGCAACCATAGTAGAACAAAGCCATATTTTTGATATTTATTTTATATATTTAAATGCCATTTAACAAAGAAAAATCAACCAAAAAAATGAGTTCGCGTGTCACCTCTGACACGCGTGTCATAGGTTCGCCATCACTGTAAAAGCACCCTAGGTATTTAAAATCAAGATAAGCTGAGAGAAGTAAGGCCACGTGAAAGACTGCTGAAACTGATAAAGTATCCAAATGTGTTCCAGCCAGAGGTAGGAAACTAGCTTACAGTACACAGTCTTTACTTGGTTCTAAGGACCTTCGTTTATTGTTACAAACTAGGTGTGGATCACAGAAAGCCAGACCTTGATTTCCAGGAAGTTCTCACATTTCTCTTCTACACATTTAACTTAGACTTAAGATCTTCATAGGCCAAGAGTGAGAGGACTGTTCAAAGGACCACTGGTTTATATTGCTAGCCTAGCATCCATCCATCTATCCATCCACCAGTCCACCCCAAATCAACATCTATTGAATGCTTCCTATGATTCTGTGTTCGGAGCTGGAATACAAAGAACCATAGAACGCTGTATCCAAAGATGTTTACTGCAGCATAATTTTTAAGACTGAAAACTTAATAATGGAAAATATAAAAAAAATAGATGCAACCATTAAAATGATGGTTATAAAGACCATGATAGTAACATGGGGAAAAAATTATAACACAAAGTTATTGTGAAAAAAGAGGAAAAAGTATATGTCAAATGTACATGAGTTCATACTGATATAAATAATGAAATGGATGGGGAATAAGAGGCAAATCTTCCTCACAGAAGAATTCCAAACAATATATGTAAATTCTTCCCCTCTGGGAGATGGAGCTTAGCATGGGCTGGAATTAGTAATTCACTTAAAAAAAGAAAAGTGTGGAAATAGAAAAATAGCAACTTTACAATGGGGAAACCTGGCAGATAAACACTACCATAACCAAGTGATCAAGGTTAACCTCACTAGGGGTGTCATGTGTATATCATTTACCTGATATGATGAGTAAGACACATCATCTCTGTGGTAAAATCTTTCCCCAAACCCATAACACCAGTCTAACCATGACAAAACACAGGACAAACCCGATTTGAAGGACTTTCTACAAAATACCTGACCTCAAAACTCTCAAGGTCATGAAAAACAAGGAAAGTCAGAGTAACTCTCACCGACCAGAAGTGCCTATGACATATGCTGACTAAATGAAATGTGCTACACTGGGTTGGATCCTGGACCAGAATAAAGAACACCAGAAGGAAAAACTGGTAAAATATGAATAAAGTCTAGAGTTTAATTCAAAATAATGTGCCAATGTTCGTTTCTTAGTTTTGAAAAAGGAAAGATGCTAACATTAAGGAAAACTGCAATTGGGTAAAGGGTATACAAAAATTTCAAACTATTTTTGCAACTTTTCAGTAAATCTAAAATTATTCAGAAATAAGAAGTCCATATATATATATATATTGAAAAAGTACATGTCAAATGTACATGAGTTCATACTGATTTAAATAATGAAATAAATGAGGAATAAGAGGCAAATCTTCCTCACAGAAGAATTCCAAACAATATTTTTATTGATTTCAGAGAGAAAGGGAGAGGGAGATTATCAAGGATAAGAGAGAATCATTGATTGACTGCCTCCTGCACACTCCCCAGTGGGAGCAAGCCCGCAACCCAAGCATGTGCCCTGACCAGAATTAAGTTGTGACCTCCTGGTTCATAGATCGATGCTCAACCAATGAGCCATGCCAGCTGGGCACCGCCACTGCATTTTGTTGAAAGAATGCTGGAGTGGGAGCAAGGAGATTGGAGTTCTCACCTCAGCTTTACAATGTTCGAGCTGTGTGAAAATGGGTGCCTCTTGGCTTACTTGGGCCTCAGTATCCTCATCTATAAAATGGGAGGGTCAGACTAGATCTTCTCCAAAGTCCTTGACAGCAATAGCACTCTGATTTCTCTGCTTCTGCTTCTCTCACATGCCTGAAGACACCAAGAGATGGAAAAATAGGTGGTTTTTTTTTGTTTTGTTTTGCTTGTATTACTTCTGCTTGGGCAAACTATTCCAAGCAGCTGGGACACCTGTGCTACTGTCTTAGTGCCACAACCCCTCACCCTCTGCCCAGGTGTCAGCTGGCTCCTCCCCAGGGATGCAGATGCCAAATGAGCATAGTGGAATGGGGTATTAAAAGCTTCAGCCTTGGTCCCTGAAACACTTGATTTCTGCTTGCTGCCTGCAGCCATGTGGCTTGTTCTCCTACTCCTGCTGTGGCTGAGTCCTGTGGCCCCAAATTGGGAGACAGGTGAGGAGCCAGGCTTGCTGGTCAAAGGGACCCAAGCTTCTAGTCTCTTTCTTTCTTTTACTTGTTCATTTGTTCGTTCATTCATTCATTCATTCATTCATTCATTCATTTGTGTTCCTGGCATGATTTACCTCCTTGGGGTTAATACTTACTAACTCAGTAATTAAGTAATCCATTTATTCAGACACTTACTAAGCACTTGCTAGTGTACTGTGGCTTCTCTGTGTACCCATCTTTATATTTATAAGATGTCCTTTGGTGATTAACCTAGGAAGGTCTGTTTTGGTTGGGGAGTCCAGAGTTGTGTCTGGAGAGGTTCCTGTGAGTAGAGGTAGCATGGGGCTCTAGAATGTGCACTATTGCTGAGGGGGGATGGGAAGGGGAGAAGGTGGTGTGACAACCTCAGATCCAGATTAACTGGGCAGCTGCCATGCACCAACCTGTTAGGTTTGCTCAAACATCCCTGGAAATGCAATGGATGGATAAAGTTGTATTCACCAGCCCGGCCAGGGTTGCTCAGTGGTTGAGCATTGACCTATGAATCAGGAAGTCTTGGTTCAATTTCCAGTTAGGGCACATGCATGGGTTGCGGTCTTGATCCCCAGTGGGGGCATGCAGGAGGCAGCCGATCTATGATTCTCTCTCACCATTGATGTTTCTCTCCCACCATTGATGTTTCTCTCCCTCTCCCGTCCTCTCTGAAATAATACATATATTTTAAAGTTGTATTTACCAGAACTTCTTTGGTGAGAAAGCTAGATGTCAATGGTAGGAATATTGAGGGTGGGAGCCTTAAGGGACATGCTTAAGTAATAACAGACATGTTATTAAATTGCTTTGTGAAAAAGGACTTTTGGGGAAGGACAGGGCTTCAATTTTGCTGAGTAGGGCTTGCAAGTTTGGGGCTGGAGCAGGATTGTTGGGAACCATAGAGGCGAGGAGGAGGCTGCCCTGTGCCCCCCTTCTTCAATCTTCCCCAGCAGTGCTCACCCACTTCAATATAAAATTGTAAAACATGTTTAAAGAGTATTGCTCTGGAGGGGTGCAAATTATTAGCATTGGGTTCTTCAACCAGCCCTGTTTGGGCCTGTTCCTGGCTCCACAACTTGTCCCTTTATGAGCCTCTTGATCTGAAGCTAATGGGATGGTCACAGAGGAGCCACTTGAGGTGTGGTTCCTGACCAGGAAGCCTTCTCTGATGGGCTCACTGCCCCTGTACCAGACCCTGTGGCTCTCTCCTCTTAACTGCAGTGCAGCACTTACTTTCCAGTACAATGACATTCTGGTTACTTGCAGTATGATGATGCTCTGTTCATTAGACTGAACTCCTGGAAGGGTGAGGTGGGCAGACACAGCACAGTGGAATATATCTCCATGATCCACCATGGTACCTGGTTCAGAGTGTCACTCAAATAGAACAAAATGAATGAATGAACGAATGAGTGAAGGGTGCTTGGTCACTATGGCGGTAGACTTTCTTTCCCTTACTGTACTATCATTTTTCTGATGGTACCAGTTAGGACTGTTAGAAATGGTAACTTTCTCCTCGCCCATGGACACAGTGGAAGCTCAATGTGAGCCCAAGAATTCAACTCAGATCTTTTATTTATTTATTTTTCTTTATTTTTTAAAATACGTTGTTATTAATTTCAGAGAGGAAGGGAAAGGGAGACAGAGAAAGAAACATCAATGATGAGAGAGATACATCGATAGGCTGCCTCCTGCACCCCTCCTACCAGGGATTAAGCCTGAAACCCTGGCATGTGCCCTGACCGGGAATCAAACTGTGATCGCCTGGTTCATGAGACAATACTTAACTATTGAACCACATGAGCTAGGCTCAATTAAGATCTTTTAAATTAAATTAAGAAAAAAATTATTTGGCACTAGATATACAAAAATGCATTTTCTGCCCTCAAGTTTCTGGTATGGAAGACTGATACACACCTCCAGAAAGAAGGCTGTAACAATAATGGAGACAGGGACAATGGACACAAAACACTAGGGGGTGGGGTAAGGACATGTGCGGAGGGGGGGCGGGGCGCGGAGGTACGGGAGGCCAGGGGAAGGTCAATGGGGGAAAAACAGGAGACATATGTACTACTATTTGTAATACTTTAAACAAGAAAATAAAATTTAAAAAAAGAAAAGTATACAGGGTGGGGTAAGGACATGTGCGAGGGGGGGGCGGTGGGAGGCGGAGGTACGGGAGGCCAGGGGAAGGTCAATGGGGGAAAAACAGGAGACATATGTACTACTATTTGTAATACTTTAAACAAGAAAATAAAATTTAAAAAAAGAAAAGTATAAAAATGTATGAAGGCAAAAAAAATGGAGATAAGGATTAATGCTATGTTAGAAGGTAAAATCAATAGGTTTTAACAGTAAGAAGAAAAGGTTAATCTCAGCTGGGAGTATGTAGGAGGGCCTCTCGTAATAAATCAAATTTATTTAAAAAAAACTGTTATGGAAAATTCCAAACACACACAAATGTGTTTTTGGAACAGAATAGTGTAATGAACCAAATGTACCTATCGGCTAGCTTCAAAATTATCAACCCCGGTTCTTATCCACCATATTTTAAAACTATGACCACAACACTGTATCAGAGCTGAACTAATTAAAATAATTACCTACTATCATTTGATGTCTATCAGTGTGCATATTTTTCCAACTGTCAAAAAGGACTTTTTGCAGTTGGCTTATTTGAATAATGATCCAAACAAGGTCTATACGTTACATTTATAGTATGAGTGAGTGACAGAGCTGGGATTAGAACCAGCCACCACACCACGCTCAGGTTCACATTAAAAACAAAACAAAACAAAAAACCAAACCAAAACAAAAACCTCTGGTTGCACTTGCCACCAATCTCTGCCATTCTCTAAGCGCTTTGCAGACTTCTGCTTTTGAGTCTTTGTTCAAGCTGTTTCTGCCGCTTAAAAGACCCTTCCTCCCATAGGCACTGGTATATTTCCTAAGTCTCTTTAAATCTATATCCACTCCCTCTTTCTAAAAACAAAACAAAAAACCAAAATAAAACAAAACCCTCTGGTTGCACTTGCCACCAATCTCTGCCATTCTCTAAGCGCTTTGCAGACTTCTGCTTTTGAGTCTTTGTTCAAGCTGTTTCTGCCGCTTAAAAGACCCTTCCTCCCATAGGCACTGGTATATTTCCTAAGTCTCTTTAAATCTATATCCACTCCCTCTTTCTTCTTTTTTTCATGCTGTTCAAGAAATCAGGCCAATTGTCCTGCAGAATGTCCTACACTGTGGACTTGTCTGAATGAATCACTGTGGGTGTCCCTCTGTCCTCTGAATTTTCTGAAACCTGGTACTTAAGGTCCATTTCTTTTGGCAGGAATACTCCATAGGTGGGCTGGGCACTTCCTATTGCGTCCTGAAGGAGACACAACATCTCGAAGGAAACACACAATGTTCAGTTGTCCTATGTTTATTGGTGTTAAATTTGGTTAGTCAGGTGCATCTGTTTATTGCTGATTAGATTAATTGTTTTCATTGGTGGTTGCCAAATGGTGGTTTTCTAATTCTATCATTCCTTCTGCATTTATTAGCTGGAGTTTTTCTATAAAGAAGACACTTCCCTTTAGTTTGTATGAAAAGATTGTATAAATGTTTGATTCTTTGTCATTTTCAGAATAATAAGCTAGTTCCTTAGCAGCCCCAAGAAGGTTGAATTTAAACATGACCTTGAAAGATAAGAATGTGTTCTAGTGCCTATGGGAGGAAGTGTCTTTCAAGCAGAGGAAACAGCTTGAACAAAGACTCAAAAGCAGAAGTCTGTAAAGTGCTTAGAGAATGGCAGAGATTGGTGGCAAGTGCAACCAGAGGGGTTTTTGTGTGTGTGTGTGTGTGTGTTTTTAAATGTTTACCTGAGGGTGGTGTGGTGGCTGGTTCTACTCCCAGCTCTGTCACTCACTCATGCATGACCTTGAGAAAATGGCTTTTCTATTTCTAGATCAGTGGCTTTCAAACTTTGCTGGCCACAATCCACATTAATAAATATATTTTACACTGTGACCAAGTACATCCATGTATATAAAAACAAGCAAAAAATTCATAAAGAACTCTAAGCAACTCATACTAGAGGCCCAGTGCACAAATTTGTTTACGGGTGGGGTCCCTCAGCTTAGCCAGTGATCAGGGCCAATTGGGGCCAGCCGGCTTGGGGGAGGGACTGCGGGAAGTTGGTCAGCCACTGGAGATTGGCTTTGGGAGCACACTGAGCACCAGAGGGCAGCTCCTATGTTGAGCATCTGCCCCCTGGTGGTCAGTGCACGTCATAGTGACTGGTTGAATGGTCATTTGGTCACTAGGGCTTTTATATATATAGATAAACAATGTATGTGGATATTTTCTACTCTGTTATATTTTACTCCTATCCTAGCCTATCCTATCCTATCCTAGCCTATCTTATCCTATCTTAATGAATGCTAGTCATGACCAAAGAATTGATCTCTGACTCACAAATGGGCTACAACCCTTGTTTGGATTGGTCCCTGGGGCTCTTTTCCAGCTGTAATCCTCTTTGATCCGTCCCTGGTATTGGTGACAACCTGATGCTGGAACAGGCACTTGGGAAGAGTCATGATGTGAGAGAGGAAACTAATCATTTGCAGGAGGCTCCTAACTGAACATGAGGCAGAAGTCAGGCCAATCTCAGAGGCCTCCACTCCAGCCCGCCATCACCTTGAGAGGTCTGACCTTCTGGGCCACTGCTCCCCTTTCACCAGACTCCCATGGTCCCTGTTTCCATAACAGGCTGGTTTGGCCACACCTAGTCTTCTCAGAGGCCTGCTCCCTGTTGATCATGTCAACTTTGGAAAGCCCTCAAGCTTATCCCTAAACAAAGCCCCAGGTGCAAACCTACCAGGAGGCAACTGGGAAGGTCAAGTTAAAGTAGAGAAGAGCACTGAGAGTCCTGGGCATGAGAACACTTGGGACCGATTCCCACCTGAGCCGCAGAATTACTGGGTCACCTGGACCATTCCCCCGACCTGCCAATGCCTTGCTTCCCCCATCTCTTAAAGAAGATAAACCCTCTCATTGTATAGTGGATGGCAGGAAAATCAATACTTCAATCTTTTTATGACTTAATAATATTTCATTGTGTAGATATACCATATTTGTTTTAGCCATTCATCAGTTGATGAATGTTTCAATTTGTTTTGGCTGTTATGAATAATGCTGCTAAGAACATTCATGTGCAAGTTTTTATGTAAACAAATATTTTCAGTTCTCTTAGGTATATACCCAGAAATGGGATTATTGAACCATATGGTTAATTCTATGTTAAACATTCTGAGAAACTGTCAAAATCTTTTTCAAAGTGTGTTAGCCATTTTTCAATTCCATCAGCAATGTATGTAATTTCTTCAAATTCTCACCAACACTTGTTATTTTTTATTTTATTTTAGCTATCTTAGTTGGTGTGAAGTGGTACTGAGAGTGGGGAAGGACGTGTAATGAGAATAGAGCCACAGTTGTCTAATAATTATTTACCTCAATTACTGTAGAGAAGAAGTTTTCTTACGGACCCTGGGAAACTGGAGGATGAAACAGGCCTGTAAAAGATAAGACACCTCAGAACCCAAATGGGCCCATTACTCAGGAAAGAAATACATTTTGAGAACAGAACAGGGACAGGACATGCTTTGATTTGGTTGCTGTGCCGGGACCCTGACCCCCTCCAGGCATTTGCCTCAGGAACGCTGACCATTCTCACATTCTCCAGTCCCAGGAATGGGCTGAGCTGTTTGTAACATCATAGAAGATTAGCCACCTTGTTATCAGACTTTGAGCTTCTGAAGGTTGGACTGCAAACACCACCCTCCCCTTTTCATGTTACAATTGTAGCTCACAGCTGCATGTAGTTATCTTTTTCCTCCTGTGTATATAATCAGCCAACTGACAAGGGGGGTCAGAGCAGATTTTTGTGGATGACCTGCTGCTCTCCCATACTGCCAGCATTTTGGAGTAAATGCTGGTATGATTCAACCCTGTCTCCACTTAATTGGCTCAAGTGGCGACAGGCAGCCCAGACCCCTTGGTTGTCCGGTTACATAATCTCATTGTGGCTTTGACTTGCGTTTTCTTGTTGACTAATGATGTCTCACCAGCTTATTGGCCATTTGGATATCTTCTTTGGATATTTCCTTTGTCCATTTAAACATTGGGTTATTTGTCTTTTTTTGTTGAGTTGTGGGAGTTCTCTATATAGTCTACATAAAATTCTCTTGTCATATATATGATTTGCAGATATTTTCTCCCATTCAATGGGTTGTCCTTTTACTTTCTTGATAGTATCCTTAGAGGCACAAAACTTTCAAATTTTGATCAAGCCTAGTTTATCTGTTTTGTTTTGTTTTTTCTCACTTGTGCTTTTGGTATCATATCTGAGAAACTCTGGCTTAACCCAAGGCCATGATGATTTACATCTATGTATTTGCCTAAGAGTTTTATAGTTTTAACTCTTATGTTTAGATCTGTGATCCTTTTTGAGTTAATTTTTGTATAGTCTGTGATGTAAAGGTCCAAATTCATTCTTTTGCATTTGGATATACAGTTTTCCAGCACCATTTGTTAAATATTTTGTTGCTGTTGCTGTTAATTCTTATCCAAAGAGTTTTTTTTCTCATTGATTTTTAGAGAGAGTGGAAGGAAGTGGGAGACACAGAGAGAGAAACATGGATGTGAAAGAGACACATGGATTGGTTGCCTCCTGCACGTGTCCTGACCAGGGATCAAGCCTGCAACCGAGCTATGTGAGCTTAACTAGAATCAATTTATAGCCTTCAGTCTGCCAGTAGAAACTCTATCTACAGAGCAAATCGACTAGGGCTAAATATATCTATTTTTCAATGTCCCCTTTTCTGCAGGCAGCTGCTCCCAGCCCCAGCCCCTCTGCTGCCTTGGAATAGATAACCACTGCAAGAGTGGAAACTGCTACTGCGATGCATTCTGCCATAAGGCATCAGACTGCTGCCCAGACCACCACGCCCTCTGCAGCACCGGTAACTCACCGGCAGGCACCTTTCCACCCCTCCTAGAGCCGAATGCTGTGATTGACAGAGACAAGCCCCTCCTATCTACTTCAGGCCAAGGTCAGCATGTGAACCCCTGAGGTCCCTAACAATCCTGAGAGCCTTGCATTCTGTCCATGTTACGTCAAAAGTGCCTACACATTCCTCGCAGCTTTGTTTCCCTGCTGCTCCTTACCACCTGCTGCTCCCTCTCAGAGCCACTTTTCCAGGTCCCACAGGGAGAGGTTAAGCTGTTGGTGGTGGGGGATCAGGGTGGCGAGTGTGGTGGCTGGGTTCTAACGGTCCCACCTTCTCTTGCAGTGTAGATGCCTCTTGACTGTGCCATGTAGACTTTTGAAGGCAGACAGGAGTCTGCAGAGAGGTGCAGAGGATGTTGGGCAGCAGCAGGAGGGTGGAAGGCAGGGACAGGAGAGGTGCTCTCTCTCTGTGTTTCTCAGCTCCTCAGAATACCAAGATGGTGCTGCAGATGGTGTTGAGGATGGAGAACCCACCAAGCCCTAAGAGAAGCAATCTCAACCGGGTGCAGAGCATGGTGAGTGCCCGGAGGTTCTCCCCGAAAGGGTGGGGGCAATCTGCTCCTGCCTCCCTGGCTTCCAGGCCCCAGAGTCAGGGAGCAATTTACTGAAGGGGAAGAGAGGCCTGAGCTGAGGTGGAGTTGGTTGCAGTCATGGTTTTAGGGCTAAGGGCCAGGATGCTTGCTCCTGGATACTGACTCTTGGATTTCATATAATTTTCATTTCTTCTGAAATACTATTATTATTATCTTTACTTTCTTCAACCACTTAAAAATATTTTTAAAATCTTAATTTGTTAACTGTACGAAACCAGGCAGCAAGACAGATTTGGCTCATAGACCGTGGTTTGCCGTTTTCTGCCCTAAATCATCCTCTGTTTTTACTTTTCTTCTGAGTCCTAGCTTCAGCAATCTGCCCAGCACTGGAGGAGAGGCCTTGGCCCCCTTCCTAGCACATGATACCTCTGGGAAGAAAGGCAGCATAAGCCAATGGAAAGAGCAGGGACTCAGAGCCAGATAGACCTGGGTTCAAATCCTGGCTCCACCACTTATCACCCGGTGACCTCCTGCAGCTCCGTCAGCCTTCCTGAGCTTCCCTTTCCTCATCTGTGCACTGGAGCTTGCCTTGTCGGGCTGTGTGGAAGGGCCTGGTTC